GGCCGAGCTCCTCCTGCCCGCGGAGCAGCAGCACGCTGAGATGCGCCCGGGGCGCGCCGCCTGCCACCTCGCAGTGCAGGGTGAGGTTGTCGCCCACCGGCTGCCAGGCGGGCAGGGGCGCCAGCTCCACGCGCTCCGGGAACTCTGCGGGTGAAGGGGAGGCACTCATCAGGCGGCTCTACACCCTGGCCCAGGGATGGGGGGAGGGCGGTGGGCCACCTGGTGTGGCACTGCATTAAGTGCCTGTAGGAAGTGTTTGCTATTGTCCTTAGTGCCCTTCGTATTGTTTCCTGGCTTGTCAAACACCTTGCCAAACCTTTCAATGAAATGCGATTTCCTCTTCCCAAGGGTCTCCATGCAGGAGGAAAAGGGAGGAAGGAGGGGAAGAACGTGTATCAACACTTAGGACATGCAGAGGCATCCTAAAAGGTTCCTGTTGCTAGTAAGGGTTGGCCTTGGAATGGCCAGGTGTAGCCTGCCTTCACCTGCCTGCAGCCTGGGCTCCTCTGCCCTCTTCTCCTTTCCTCTTCAGGATGGCCAGGAGACAGGGGTGAGGAGGTGCCACTAGAGACAAGCAGGAAGTGGTCGGGCCCAGGCTGGAAGGTGGATTTCCCACCACCTCCTCGCTGTCAGGCCTCTTGGCCTCGGCCCAGACCCTGGTCTGCTTCCACCAGGGCTTGCTCCAAAATGCACTGCCACAAAGTCCGTCCTAACTCACGGTGACCCTGTAGGGCAGAGTAGAACTGCCCCGTGTCCAAGGCTGTCACCTTTACAGAAGCAGACCAGGGCCGTGCGAACCGGTGAGTTCATGGAGCTGATCTGTCCATCAACCATGAGACGCTTCTTAAAGCACTGTGCCCCCAGGGCCCCTGAGCTTAGCCCATGCCTCCCCACTCAGTCCCCCGGCACCCAAGCCTCTTGGTTCACCTGCTCCATGCCACACGTGGCCAGAATGTTTGGGACTGGGGGCTGTCCTCACGGTCTCCTCAGCCCAGTCTCCTCCACCCCCATCACCCTTGGATAACTTGAGACTTGGCACAGAGACCCAGGACTGACTGAGATGGGACAGCAGTTAACATCAGGACATTTATCATTTTAGAATATTTAACAAGGCAGCCGCCATCTTAACCCTAGGAGTCACTAGTCAGGGACTCTTGTGAACTGGGAAATGCTGGTCCCTGGACCCCCCAGGTCGGGTAAAGGGAAACCCAGACCTGTGGCGTTTGCCATTTGCTGCAGTGTAAACACCCTCACCGGGGCGGAACTCAAGCTGAGACCCTGATGCAGAGTTGGGAAGGGATGTACGCAGTCGGTCGGTCAGTTGGTTCTCACGAGCCAGGACAAGCGGTTTGGGCCCACAACTGGACAGAAGCCTCCCACGCCATGTCAGCAGAGGGCCACAGAGGCAGGTACACTCCCAAGGAACAATCGTGATTGATCTCACAAACACACGCATGACCATTCACACAGAAACGGGACATACACATAGACAAACACACGCAGCTGTACAGGGTGTTTGGTTTTTATGTGCCCGTAGGCATCTTTAGGAGGAGCTCTGGCAGGTGGCACAGTGGTTTTGTGTTGAGCTGCTCTTGATCCACAGGGCCAGCAGTTTGAAACCACCACTCCTTGGAAGAGCCGTAAAGAGTTCCAGTCTTGGGACCCCGCAGGGGCAGTTCCCTCTACCCTACAGGGTGGGTATGCGTCGGCATCCACTTGATGGCAGTGAGTTTGAATTTTGGGTTTATAGGAATCTTTGTTAGTTGAAAATTCAGATATTCATTTGGTTAGAAAACCAGGCACTGCGCCCGATCTGATCCCACC